TATGATGTGGTATAATTGCAAATAAAATAACTATCCACCAGAGAAAATGTTTTCTTATGACGTTTTCAAACGATATACCAAATACAATGCAACACGTACAATAAGAAGTTCACTGCTATGACGTTGGCGTGCGTTTAATAAAGCAAAAGTAGAAGAATCTTTGAATTTTCAATCTCTAAATAATTGAATCCGTTTGCAGGTACGTTTAAATTTGTTTTAACAAAAGACAGATACAGATATTTCAGAAAATCTTTAAAAAGTTTAAAAAAAAAAAAAATTCTAAGGGAATTTGAGCTTAAGTTTTGCAGTCGCAATCAATGTTTGGTGGAATGTTATTAGGCAAGTTTGTTTTTTTAAATTGGTAGAAAACATTCTCTCCAAGAACAGTGACTTCCAAAAGGGGTACAAAAAATAAAGTGAGATAGGCAATATGTACTACAAATGATCACATTTCGGCCTTTAAAAGGAGACAAAGCTGCCCCTGATCTCCAAAATTTTTCACATTCTTCCATTAACGAATTGACTTTTCACCGGGGAATACAACAGGTGTCGCATGCAGATTTGACTTTCCTCCCTCCTTTTTAGTTTTGATGGGACTTTGTTCTATTCAATCTAAGATTTTTGTATGAATGAAAGCATAATAAGAGTCAATAAGACAGTAACTTAACGATAAAAACCACACAAAGACACCAAGAAATGAACATGTGGCCTGGGTCTAAAAATAGTCTTCGACAATATTCAGTTGTAAATATAAAGCTTTGAATCGCCAGAGGAGTCTGGAAAAATTGTAAATAAATTTGGGACTAGAAAAATTGTAAATAAATTTGGGACTAGAAAAATTGTAAATAAATTTAATTTGGGACTAGAAAAATTGTAAATACATTTGAGACTGGAAGAATTGTAAATAAATTTGAGACTAGAAAAATTGTAAATTAATTTGAGACTAGAAAAAATGTAAATAATTTGAGACTAACAATGATATAACATAAGCAACACATTCCTTAAAAACAAAAACAAACAAACACAAAGTCTTCGATATGATCCGGACTCAAACATACGAAGAAGACTTTGTTAATAGATCTGTGGATAATGAATAAAAATATTCTGCAAAGATGTTGAAAATTGAAAATGAGGCGGACTATTGATGGTTTTAGCCTTGTACGTACTGAAAAGTTGCTACTACTTATGGATGACCCTTATATCGATATGCGATCAGGTACAGAAATAGAAATCCGTAATCAATAAAGTGAATTAGAAATTCATCAGAAATTCTAACGACACGACGATTTCTTTTCATGCCACCTGACTGTATTAAAAAGCATCTTATTTATACATTTTGGTATATAAAATCACATACATGTTCATTCTTTCATCGGATTTTACATCACCACAATGCGTAGAAAACTTTACAATATAATTTTTGCTATTTTGGTACGCGTAATCTTAGTGATCCATTCCTTATTTACAGTATGGAGGGCTAGCGATGTTAAAGATGACAATTTGTACTTGCTTCTAGCTCTTACAAATTTACTGGTCATTCTTGAAGGAGTATACAGAATAGTAAAGGAAAATGGCGAAGAATCAAGATGGTAAGGAAATATTAAAACGATAGAAATCATTCTCATTGATTGAGTTTTTGCAATCACTTGGATTTGAGAATTCAACTAAATTATTTTAGCAAGTAAAGTGAATAGTTTTGGGGAATAAGAGATCAAAACTGTTCCCCATTATTATCAGAGTAGTGTTTTATTTTCAAGTTATAAGTACAAAATAATTAAAGCTAAACAAAATCAAAAAGAAAGATATTTGTTTATTGAAAATTTTGGAACAGTCCATTGACTCGATTTTATATCATTATGCAGATCTAACACATTATTCAGCAAAAAGCAAAGAAGCACACTATATTCCCGAAAACACAAACAAATAGGGTTTTAGTTTCTTATAATGATGCTTTTAGTCAAGAAGCTTACACGACTGAGTAGTCTGTGTTCATAAATACGGCTGAACAACACATCATTTGCTGATCAAACTAAAGTTCTGTATGTGTTAATTCAGGTAAAAGTGTCAATTGGAGCATATCAAAAATTGGATTATGACATAATAACGAACTTCTCTTTCATTTATATATGTCTCATAACATATTCATTTCAACTATTGTACTAGTTATAAACATGATTCAAATACACAAATAGGAATGTTTTATATACTTTTATCTTTACCGAGTGCAGTTTAAAAATACAGTCAATGATAGAAAAATAAGTAACAGAGAAGGCAAAAAGAAGACAATTTAGACATCGGTCAACATGACATCAAACGCGAATACATATTTGGCAAGTTTCTATTTTTTTTTAGGTCAAATGTATCACTCTACACATTGAGGTCAAATGAATCACTCTACAAATTTTCCTACGCAAATTGTAGAGATGAGTGGTACAGATTCCTTGGACCATTTAATATTATGCATAGTGAAATAAGGTACCAGATGATGGCTTCAGACTCCCTGTGAATATAACATTATGCATAATGAAAGAAAGTAACAGATGAGTGGAACTGATTAATTGGATATGTAACTTTATGCATAATGAAAGAAGGTACCAGATGAGTAGTTCAGATTCCTTGCACATGTAACATCATGCATAAGCAATTGAGGTATCAGATGAGCGGTACAGATTCCCTGGACATGTAACATTATGCATAGTGAAATAAGGTTGCAGGTGAGTGGTACAGATTCCTTGGACATGTAACATTATGCATAGTGAAAGAAGGTAACAGATGAGTGGTGCAGATTTCTTGGCCATGTAACATTGTGCATATTGAAATAAGGTACCAGGTGAGCGGTACAGATTCCTTGGACATGTAACATTATGCGTAGTGAAAGATGGTACCAAATCAGTGGTTCAGACTCCTTGAACATGTAATTAATGTTATGCATAATGTAATGAAGTACACAATGAGTAGTACAGATTCCTTGGACATTTTACATTATGCATAGGGAAAGAAGGTACCAGATGAGTAGTTCACACTCCTTGACCATGTCGTAAAAATCAATACCACACTTTGAAATACTTATAAAACTTCTTACTTTCTTGTAGGTTTAGTTTATGTATACTGTTTTATATCTTTGGTATGGTACCAGCCATATGGTTACTTGAAATTGATAGACTGGAGAAGTTTACCAAAGTCAGTTCGTCTTCCAACATAACAAATGCCCAAAACGAGGCACTTTCTGCAATAAATGGGGTAAGCTACCATTGAACTATATAATATTAAATAACTTCTGGTAAAAATTCAAAAATTATAAAATAACTGTTTAGAAAACAGGCCGTTAAAGTGACAAGCTATTTCACTGGCTTCATGGTGACAAAAAAAATTTTTTTCAGGGATTAAAATTTGGGAAAACTTATTTACCAACGCTAATGAAAAATATCTTAATTTGTAGAATGCATTTATCTTATAAACAGAAATCAATGAAAAAATGTTTTCTATTGTAAACTAATTTTTGAATTGTGACTTCTTTGTCTTATAAATTTTGTGAATTTTTGTCATGCGACTTTTTGCATGTTTATCATTACAACTATCACAGTTATTTACCTTAGAATACTTTTATAGAATGATGTGCTTAAGCATTACAATGCGAAAATCAAAGCAAAATGTGGTTCACGACTCCATGGGGAGTGGAATATGTCATCTACCGTGGTGGCCAAATTAATATTGAACAAAACATTATTCGTATTATTATTATACAACTGTGAGTTTTCTGCCAACCAGTATCAATATAATGTCAAAATGTTCATTGTTTGAATTATAGCATATTAACATAAAGACAAAATAGTATCTAATCCTTAAAAGGCTTTATACGACAATTTTATCCAAACAGACAATAATGGTCAAATTTTTACTACGGATTGTATTGCAATTCTTACTTTCAGAAAACATTTTGAGGATGCCATCATTACTTACGACTTAAGTATAATTATCAAAGAAAAAAGGGTGTCCGTTTTGATAAGCAAGATAAAAATAAACATAATTATGCAGAACTTTTTCAACAACTCTTTATAGGGCTGGAGGGTCTGTGTGTGGCCTGATTCAAAAATAACATAAAAATAAGGAGATGTGGTATGATTGCTAATGAGACAACTATCCACCAAAGTTCAAAAGAAGTGGATGTACTACCAAACATACCATAATTCTCCCGTGGCAGTAGAAATTTTTGATCTCAACCCGGTCGATTCACTTTGCCGAACCTAACTTTTGGATTGTCTTTGTTTCGAATGTGTATGAAATATTTGCCACTGGATGTTAAAGAAACACCAATCAATCAATCAATGACAATCAACCCAATCGACATTCACTCTCAAAAACTTTTTACACCATACTTGGTTTGATATAGATAAATATGTCCAAGTTAAAAATAGTTGGACATATTAACGTAATAATGTTTGTTAAAAGCGCAAGAAGATGGAGAATAACCACATTTAGCGACTCATTTCATCTGTTAGAATATGCGATTCACTTATACAGTTCAATCTGACTTCACTATATATGTTATATAAACTGTATAACTATGTTTATAATTAGGTTTTTTATTGAACGTTTGATGGTTTATGTTTTTAGTGGAAAAGCTGTTTTTGTTTTTCTAAAGGCGGAGAGGCGGAATATTGATTATTGAATATGGATAATAAAACAATAGCTATTAATTTTACTGCACCATATGCGCATTTTGACAATTAATGTCTTTTCAGTGATGCTCGAGGCCAAAATATTTGAAGGTCAAATATTTACCTCATACAAACGTTGAAGGGCTGAAAAAACCTTAAAGGACCAAAAGTAAAGCTAAACCCGGACAAGGAATTATAGCTATCCATGAGGGAGATACAAAGCCAAACCCAGACCATGAATCAGAGCTATGAATGAGGGAGATACAAAGCCAAACCAGGACAAGGAACCAGAGCTATGAAAGAGGGAGGTACAAAGCCAAGCTCGGACAAGGAACAAGAGATATGAATGAGGGAGATACAAAGCCAAACCAGGACAAGGTATCAGAGCTTTACACGAGGGAGAAACAAAGCCAAACCGGGACAAGGTATCAGAGCTATGCACGAGGGAGATACAAAGCCAAACCGGGACAAGGTATCAGAGCTATACACGAGGGAGATACAAAGCCAAACCCGTACAAGGAACCAGAGCTATACACGAGGGAGATACAAAGCCAAACCGGGACAAGGTATCAGAGCTATGCATGAGGGAGATACAAAGCCAAACCCGTACAAGGAACCAGAGCTATACACGAGGGAGATACAAAGCCAAACCGGGACAAGGTATCAGAGCTATGCATGAGGGAGATACAAAGCCAAACCCGTACAAGGAACCAGAGCTATACATGAGGGAGATACAAAGCCAAACCAGGACAAGGAACCAGAGCTATGCATGAAGGAGATACAAAGCCAAACCCGTACAAGGAACCAGAGCTATGCATGAGGGAGATACAAAGCCAAATACGGACAAGGAACCAGAGCTATACATGAGGGAGATACAAAGCCAAACCCGGACAAGGAACCAGAGCTATGCATGAGGGAGATACAAAGCCAAATACGGACAAGGAACCAGAGCTATACATGAGGGAGATACAAAGCCAAACCCGGACAATGAACCAGAGCTATACACGAGGGAGATACAAAGCCAAACCTGGACAAGGTATCAGAGCTATGCATGAGGGAGATACAAAGCCAAACCCGGACAAGGAACCAGAGCTATACACGAGGGAGATACAAAGCCAAACCCGTACAAGGAACCAGAGCTATACATGAGGGAGATACAAAGCCAAACCCGGACAAGGAATTATAGCTTTTAATGAGGCATATACTTTCCTCAACGTAAAATATTTCGAAATTTTAGAACAGCAAATTTAGATATAAATAATATCCGTATTTTCTTGGCAGATAACATGATCACGTAGGTTAATTGTGTCACTTGATAATGTGCTTTTCGCAAATGCAAGAGCCTTCTCAGTTTGTATCAGTGTTTGATTGTCAGGATGCAGAATTGAATTTAATATGAATTTTTTGGTTGTTTGAGATGCATTAGAATTTATTTACAACTTAAAGCTTGTGATTATGAGATTTCTGTTATTTACAGGTAACATTGCCTTTGAAATTAGATGCAGACACCTGGGCATCCGTCCTGGAGCAACTCATGCTGTTTATGTTTGTAATTGCAAGATGGGTGTTACCTAGGGGGAAATTGACACGCGATCAACTTTCGCAACTTTTATTTGTATACATAGGATCTGCATCAGACGTCATGGAACTTTTTGTAATTTTTGAAGAACCAGAAATAAGGTCAGATGTTACATTCAGTTATGTAACTTTAGGAGTGTGGTCCCTTAGTTTACTTCAATTCTGTTTAATCCTTACCGCGACCAGGAATATTGGTAGCAGGGCTATTGCAAAGCATACTGCTGTAGATGGTGATATTCCAGAGGATGAAGTGGGACAGGAAAAGGTCGGATATTCTGCTTGTTGTGACAAAGTTTTCCAACTAGAAATCTGGACCTTATTTATTTGCTTGATTTTGCAAGATGGTCCTTTTCTTGGTGTTAGATTGTATGCAATTTTTGTCAAAGGAGTGTTGTCGTATGGTATTATATTTTTCACTGCTAAAAACATCTTGATTCTGTTTCTGTTATGCTACAGGGTAATAGTTCTGTGTTATTCAAAGTTTACAAAGGATCTCGATAACCAAAACAGAAATAACGGGTTTTCTAGGAAAAACATTGTTGGACCTTATTCTGCTGAAAAGAAATAAGAAGGGTAAACATTTAGTCGAAAAATTATCTGACAATTCATAGAAAAATGGATAACGTCAGGAATGTGTGTTGTAACTTAAAATGAGAATTACAAAACATTTGATAATAAGGAAATTATAATATGTTAGATTATTTCGTTAATTTTAGAAAATATTTCAGCTGTACATGTATATATTTTCCGTATAGCAGACAGTATTGTTTCATGTATTCCAATAATTGCTTCAATTTCTGGTGCACTGCAAACATAAGTGACACGAGCCAAAGTTTAGCCAAAAAAGTTGTTTTATATCACAATTAGCAATGTTCGAGCCAGGCTTTATTTGGGTCAAAACGGGACTGTTCATTCTCATCGCAAAATGTAAAGAACCAAGATTTGAGCCAAGACATTTTTTTGTTATTTCTGGACTTAACCAAAAAATCCACATCCAGTAACAGTTACTATGTTCAAACAGGTCAATTCCGAAGTCAATTTTATTTTTAAGCTATGTAAAATATTTTTTTCATTTGCACTGTTCTTTATTTTGTGAAAATCAAGCCTAGTCGTAGCAGAAATGAGACACCACTCGCCAAAAATTGTAACTGTTTATTAATACCCTAGTCCTGTTGGGCAATATTACTAATTTCAAATGATGTAAAGTAGGAAATATCTTACCGCAGCACCTTGAAATTTGACAAGATCACAAACAATATCTAGAGTAGCAATATGTTTATCTGTAAGATTTTGAAAATCATGTTTTTAAATCTGTATAACTTTCATATTTCAAATTGACTTGAACATTGTTTCTTTTTATACCATGAGGGTATGGATGGGTGGTCCTTCATTTCTGTATTCTTTAATTTATTCGCTCATTATTTTTTTTTCTTTAAAAATAATAGCTATACTCTGTAATTACTTGATAACTGTATTCTGGAAATTGTTCTTTTCTGTAATCAGTAAATTTTTACCCAATTTTTTTTATTTTTGCAGTTATTCTTAATATTTTAGCACCCCATTATTCTCTATTCTTTATTTCCTTCGCCCATTTTTCTCTATTCTTTAATTTTTTTGCCCATTATTCTCTATTCTGTAAACCCCATCCACACCCTCTACCATCGATTCTGTATCAGTATAATTTATGTCAGTTTCCTTATAACTCAAATGTCTTAGCCAGAACAGTTATTATTGTATTACACCAATATCTATTATGAATACGGATTCTTTATCCTATAATATTTCAATTCTACATTTTTCTCCAAATCATGATATGCTTGTAAATTACTTGGTTGATAGCCTTTCTTTACATAGTAAGGAATTCTTCTCACACTAGTGAAACGTTGTTCTGTATATACTCTGAAATATTAGCAAAGGCGGTGTTCATGATAAAAAGTGAAAATCTGAATCGCTTCAAACAATTTACACTATCAATGTAGCTACGGGGCGCCGAATGGGACTTGAACTTTTTGTAATCAAAATCAATTTTGTGTACATAAAATTCAATTCTGTCATAACAAAATCATTTTTGTCTTACAAAACTATGTGATACAGACTTGTTTTATGAGAACTTCAATTTTGTCATTTTTTGTAGACTCTGTAGACAAAATTCATTTTTGTATTTTGTCAAATAGGTATGCAAATATAAACTTATTTGCATACAAAATCAACTTTTGTTACCTGATATGGAAATTAAAACACAAAAGTCAATTTTGTGAGACAAAATTGAATTTGTACGCAATTAACATGTTGATTAAATTAGCATCCTGTGATTTTGTAATTAAATTTATTTTTTGTGTAGACAAAATTGAGTTTTGTTAGACAGAAGTGAAAATTTAACCGTGACAAAATTAACTTTTGTTAAATTTTCACTTCTGTTTAACAAAACTCAATTTTGTCTACACAAAAATAAACACAAAATTGAATTTTGTGACAAAATCTCAGTTTTGTATGCAAATTAGTTCACAGAATCCAAAGTAAACTAATTTGCATACAAAACTGAATTTTGTCGCCCAATTTTGAAATTAGGTAACAAAAGTAAAGTCTGTGATACAAAACTGAATTTTGTCATGACAAAAGTAACTTTTGTCCACTGAAAGATAATTTTGTATGACAAAATTTAGATTTGTAGTATGCTACAAATTTTGTTAAACTGAACTCATTTTTGTTGAACAAAACCACAAGAGTCCCGTTCGGCGCCCCGTATAGTAGCTTCCAATGTTAACCAAAATGAAAGACACACACTTACACACCACATTTGAATGGTTAGAAATTAAAAGAAAATATAATATCCTCTTCTCTTTCTCCAGATGAGTACTTTTAAATACAAAATATCTTAATATTATCCACCGGTCAAATCGAAACGAAATGTGGAGCAGGTTTTGTTTACGCTTTCGGAGCACCCGAGATCACCCAGGTTTTTGTTTGGTGGGATTCGTGTTGCTCAGTCTTTACTTTTCTGTGTTTTGTTTTGTATACTGTTGTTTGTCTTTTGTAGTTTTTCATGTTTTGCCATGGCGTTGTCAGTTTGCCATCGACTTACTCTTGAGTTTCAAAATTCCCTTTGTATAGACCGACTCTCTTTTCCTTGACAATTTTTCAGAGAGAATATGCATAGGTTTGTTCATATTGTATGCCTTAGACTTGCGTTGTTTGCTTTGGTAATGGTATACTAATTCCAAAACATTAAGTGGTAAGGATTTACTAGGTACTATAGGTTAACTTTGAATGGTGATATGTTTCTATGATATGATATCATTTGTTTCGTCGCGATATGTTCAATCATTATAAAATAATTGAGAAATAAGGAAAAAATACCCTGATCTACGCAGCATAAAAATCTCGTTAGAAGAAAACATATAGCTGATGACTGGATACAACAACAGAATAAGTATAGGTACACCAAGCATCAATACAAGTTTGACCTGGAAATGAAAAACAACATATTATCATAATTGGTTACACAATATAAAAGAAAGTCATATCTGTATTCTTTTGTAATCTGATAAAAAGTCACATCACATCTATCGGAACTCGCTTACTCATATAAGTATAACGAAATCAGACATCTATATTTTAATTAGATTATATTCTTTTGATAACATAGCCTATGTTCAAGTTCATAGCGTCTTGGGTACTTGGAACAGGTAACAGTTTAAATCCACAGATTAGGATGAAAAAAATAAACACAAAGAATTAAGAGATTTGAATATGTGATACGAATGCCAATGAGACAACCCTCTACCATTTCTGTCCTTAATTGTGATAACATGTCTATTGCTTATATAGTGTGACGAATCATATGCATCCACCCCTTAATATGTATTATTCAACTAAAGGTAAATATAGATAGCGAAACAATTTTTTTCAGGGACAAAAAATAAATACAAAGAATTAAAACGTCTTTGTCAAGAGATTTCTTTCTGTGCTATGAATGCCAATGAGAAAACTCTCTACCACTCCTGTCTCTAATTGATACAACATCCAAACTGTCTATTGGATAATGGGTATTATTGCACTGAATGTAAATATTGATAGCGTAAGCAATATTTGATTAGTTGAGATTATCCCATGTGAAATTAAACAAAACTTCAAATTCCCCTCTGATTATTGGGACTTCCTCGTGCGAAGTTACGCGCGGTTAATGCACGCTACGTTTTAACTTTTTATGGCCCCGCAACAAAGTACTTTAGTTTATTGTAGTTTTACCCTTATCCGTCATTCCGTCATTCACCAACGAATAGTTATACGGACTTATTTAACGCTTTCACATATTGAGCTGATGTTTAATAAATGTGAGTCTACTATGATGAGTAACAGTTCGAGTTTACGGTTGGTTCCGCTCTGCTGGGGCTCTTTTCACAAAAAATCTTACGAGTAAAAATACTCGTAAGTCATGAACATTTCAGTATAACTTACGATCAATTTTAATCGTACGATTTTTTGTGAAAAGAGTCGCAGATTTTTGCCGAATTACGGGCTTTGGACTTTTCGTGAAAATAACAGTTATACAGACTTTTATTCTCAAATTTCCACTCTTAAAAATGGCTTCAAGCTTTTTTCGCGAGCGGGGCCATTTGTGTTGTTCCGACACATCTAGTTTTAAATAGCGTTAGTATAGTTATTATAGTGTCAAAATTATTTCAGACGCAAGAACAGAACAGCAAAAATGTGTCATTGAAACCTTCGATGATCTTTGATTACTTTGAAACTTGTTGTAATGTTTGATCTTGCCTGAAGCTAACTAGCGCAATGGACTGGACAAATCCGCGCGGAATTTTCACTCGGAATGTTCATCGGTGATTTTGCCTTTATATAATCAGACCTCTTTTTTGACATTACAAAAGCGCAAATACTAAAAAAAAAAAACATTTAAAAGCAATTTTGTTTATACATAACAACAATAAACTAGAAAAAATATATATAATTGCAAAAAAGTAGTAAATTGAAATATTACTTGAGTGCTACTAGTAATTGAAAATTAATGACCGTGAGATAAGTGATCAAGTTCCGTGTTTAACTTCCAGTTTTAATTTTCATCATCAATAATTTTAGGAATGTCTATACCTGCTCTTATAAAGTTTTATCAGGAAAAACATAAAGGATGTTTACTACACAATTAGTTACAAATGTGTACTTATATGGACAAGCAAATACAGTTCATGTCTTTATTTTAACGAAAAAATGTGATATTCGAAAACAACTTATAACTGTAAACTGTTATAGAGTAGATGCAAATTTAAACTGGCAATTATGGAAGCTCGTTATTCCAAAAATTAAACTCTTTTAAAGAAAAAGTAAGCAGATAAGATCAAATAAATATTTTGAAATAGTTGGATTACAAAATTACAAAAAAAGTCCATTCGGAAAGACGATAATTTGAAAAAAATGTGAAATTACGAGTTTCTAACGACAGGGTGGAAAATAAAGTAGACATAAAGACCTGTTATAGCCTTGCGTTATATGGAAAGATTAAACTCAAAATTTAGACGACATTTTGTCTCTTTTTCACCGCACTGACTGGTTAATTTGAAGACATTAATGTGGAAAGATGTGATTAAAATATGTAAAATTATACATACAAAATCTTCGTCCATCCTTTCAAAAATAGTCCTTCGTCGGCTAAATGTTTGTTGATGATCACAATATGTCTGGTTTTGTGAATTTTGTTCTGCTTCCGCTGAAAGACAATACAATATCTATAATTTATCTAATTTATTACAATTTATAATCATCCTTTTTAGAAGACTTTCATTTTTACCATTTGCATTATATTTTTTTTCTGTTTTATACTGACATGAATGTCACGGTAATATAAACGCTCGGTTTTATACTGACATGAATGTCACGGTAATATAAACGCTCGGTTTTATACTGACATGAATGTCACGGTAATATAAACGCTCGGTTTTATACTGACATGAATGTCACGGTAATATAAACGCTCGGTTTTATACTGACATGAATGTCACAGTAATATAAACGCTCGGTTTTCATTACGCACCATATCTGATTTTTTAATAGACCTCATCAGATTCGCTGAGTTCAAAAGTGATGAATGCCAAAAACAGAAAGAATGTATCATTTATTTTATGCCAGTACCTGCTGTTTTCTCTTATCGCTACACTCGGAGTGGAGCATTATGAGGAATGGTGGACCTGTTTATGTCGAGCACTGGCTAAAGAGCGGAGGTTACTGTAGAAAAAACTGACAGTTTACCAGCAACGGTAATAATCCAATGGAAATAAGAATATATCATAACATATCTATGAGTGTAAAATCCAAACAAGTAAATTGCTACTAAATACATGAGATAACACAAATAAACAATAAACAATACAAATATGTAACATATACATAAAATATTTGAAAAAAAAAATATATTCTTTTTCTTTCTGTTCTTAAATGCTAGACAACATGCTTCCCCTCAAATTAGCATAAACATTATAATTATATTTGTAATAGTCATCTAAAAAAAAGAAGAAATACTGCTTACCTCTATTATATTCATTCTTATATTAGGTTATTTTATGAAGAAAACAAGGTATACATGTAAAATCAACAGTTCATGCACAATTGTAAATATTGTTTCTGTAATAATACATCAGAAAACCGACTGCAGTGCATGTGCAACACGTTTAAGGTCTAAGCAACAGAAAAAAAAAGTGATTAACTTTTAAGGAATTGCTAAATTAAAAGTTGTGATGAAAGTAATCAAAGTACTGAAGTACTGAACATCGGATGACCACAAGTTCTTGAGGATGGTCAAAAGCACTTGTCTCAGAAATAAAACAACTATCTCTTTATCTAAAACTGAGGTTAATGTACAGAGATATATTTTTTTCTGAGACAAGTTCGTGCGTGGATGATGAATAAATGACAGGAAATTCAACTTCACCGTAATAACTATTATATTGTAGTGATACAAATCAGTATACACTGAGTTGTTGTTTATATTATATTAAAATAACAGTTACATATATATATGATTTGAGTCCATTTGTATATCATTCTATTCTACTATTCTAAAAATAGTGCAATGCAAGTGCATGGTGGACACTTTTCTGTAAAAATTCGATTTTTCTAAGATTGGATACGAGTAGGCATTCATATTTTCCCGCAAAATCAATTACAGAGTTACCGGTCCTTGACGGTATTTTCACAAAACGTTCTTTGAGATATTCTTCCGCATGCTTAAACACAATTTTTCGGTACGTGTGCATTGATATTATCAATGATTTTTTACTTATATATATATATATCTAACTACAAAACATTTTCATATTATTAATTTATGTTGTAAACAAAAATATTTTTATCAGTATTCATTGAAGAGATGTATTTATATCAAACGATAAGGAATGTTATTTTGCACTCGTTTATGTGCGCGTATTTTTCATGTTTATAGATCGGTTACAAACCCAAAACTAATTTACATAATGGAAATCTAGGCGATAGCAATACATCGGGATGACCTCAAGGTCATCGCGATGTAAAAATGTTATTTACACCATATTTTAATTACGAGATAATTTTACCTGAATAACTATGAGTCCTGTTCCTCTGTCTTAAGCGTTCTTCTATATTGGGTAGCTCTACTGTGTCATATAGGTGTTTACTCTCGGTGTCACTCAGTTTGTCATAAGCATTGTTTATCACTAAGATAAATGTATAAGCAATAGCAAATTATTAATCTTTTTAAATACATATAGTACAATTGAATGGAATTTCGCGTTGATTTAATTCAGATATTGTTTTCCTTAGCGAAATAATCTTTAATAAAAAATTTGATGGAAAAGACAGTAAATGGTGTCTCATGTTTTCCTGACACAAAATCACTACACGTACATGAAATAAACAAAAGCAAAGGAACAATGCTGTTATTGCTGTTCTTCATCTCAAATTGGTACGCCATGGTAGTTTTGAACAATGGAGATTGAAAATGAAGACATTCCTTTTTTAAGGAACGAGTCGTATTGCTAAAAATTTAATATTCTATAATAAACCGGTCTACTGGGATACAAATTCATAAAATAGATTTTGACATCTGATAATATTACCTTTGCATGCTTCCTCTGCTCTTGGTGCTTTGTTTTTATCGGGATGTAGTTGTAAGGACAGCCTCCTGTACGATTTTGATATAACATCTATAGGTGACAGTCTCGGAACTTCAAGGATGTCGTAATACATACATTCTGGATAAGCTAGTGTCCTATTAAAACGATTAAACTATTTTAATGTTTGTGTATTATGTCAAATTGAGACATGTATTCGGAATAAAATTAAATAAATGGAGAATGTGTCCATGGGACGTTATAAAGAGACATAACTCAAGAACGGTAAAAGTGACGCAATCCAAATTCAAACTTGTGTTTTGTGGTAATAAGTATTGTGTATAAGTTTCATAACATTTGGTGAAGGCAAACTAAAGTTAGAGAACGGAAACTAATTTTGGGACTTACGGACGGACGTACAGTCAGATGGACAAGGGTAACACTTAGCGGCGAGGGCATGAAAAACGAATGACTGGGAATAGTTTTCTTTATTTTTTTTAAGATTACGTAATGATTAAGTGTAAAAAAAAGTTAGAAATATCACTCGCAGCTGGCATGATATAGATTATATATATAGCAAATTGCTATCAATACTAATTTACTTTCGTGGAATATACGACTTTTGGCTGTTCCCTCCAAAACTGGTTAAAGTAGAAAATGTAAGAGAAACGTCGATCAGACACGATTTTAAAAATCAATTTATATTTTGAACAAGTGCATATGCTATGCCGATTTATATTTTTTGGTGTGATAACCAATATAACAGGAATTCAAAGATTGAATTCATCATAGAAAGTTTTACAATGTTTAAGCGTTGTGGGTTTTTTCATTTCTTGATTTTGCTTGTCACGAATTTGTCACACACTCTAATTTATATTAAACCATAAAGAATCATTTCACACTGTGGAACCTACAAGTATCATCAATAAAACATATCACTCTACCTGTCCACAAGTACTTGTTGTTCTTTGGTATATTCAGCATTGCTTTCATGGCTTTTGTTGTTTTCTTTATTTTGTGTCATTACGGAAAATTTCTAGGTGTGTCACTGAAATAAGATTGCCAATACTTGATATATTATTTTAAATTTGTCGTTTAAGATTAAAGAAAATAAATGTAATTTAAAAGTCAATGAGACATAAAAAACGACACTAGAGCAATATATAGTCTTCAACAGTAGACAGGCGTCTATAAAATATGATAAGCTCTTAACCGTACCGAATCTAAAAGTTGTGAATGAATTTAAATGAAACAATCAAAGATCTGCCATCAAATTCTTCAAAATAAATAAAATCAATCAAAATCAAACAACCACAAAAAACATTGAGATATTACATGAGACAAAAAGTTGATGACGAGGTTTCTGGCTTGGGACACAGGATCATGAATGTGTGGCGTGTTTAAACAAGTTTTTTTTTTAATTAAGAACAAAGAACAACTAACAAAATTACAAAAGTAACACAGTACCTATTTGAGAGAATCCGTAGTTACTGAAAGCTAGTTTAAAACCAATTAAAACTAAAAAAATGATCATCTTCTCACAGACTTTAAATACAAATCAGTAAACACCCAACAGATTTACTGTTAAGACGCCTTAAACAGTCGGAGAAATGCGATATGGGTTTTGCTCATTGTTGAAGGTCGTAAGGTGATCTAATGGTGCCAACTTCTATGTCTTTTGCTCTCTGATGGAAAGTTGTCTCATTGGCAATCATACCACATCTTCTATTTTTTTATTGAGAAAAACATGACCTTGTGCATTGCCAAAATATAAGTATATTGCATAAGTTTTCATTATTGTATATAGCAAAACATATTTAGTTATGTTTAAGTTAATCAAAAACAAAACAAATATTGGTACAAATAGAACACAAAATTCAAATATTTGACCACATTGTTAAATTAATCACTTTTTATAATAAGTTTATTCAAAGGATACATGAATTAACATAGATCTTATCCAAAGTTAAGGGCTCTATAAACATCATTAACGTAAAAATAAGAATGATATATCCTGTTTGTAATAATACTGCTACAGATACAATCAAACTTCAAAACAAAATCTTTGTATCTATAAAAGAATGTTACATAAAAGTTTGAAATAACTTGTGGTAACGAGATCCCTGACTTATAATTTATCAGTTAAACATAGATTAAGTTCGCTGAAATCTTAAACGTCACTACAGACACGATCATAGTGAACGAGTTTTGGAAATATACCGTGAGAGTAAAGAGGCAAAAAGGGAACATCACCGTCTACAGAGGAAAATATCAATAGGAACGATAAATCGTCTCCTTTTTTGAAATTTTTGTAATTAGTTTCCCATTTAAAACTGAAATACCCAAATCTAGAAAAGGACAAATATTATTGTTTTTTTATCATAGTGATTTAATGTCAGTTCCCTTGTGTAAATTTCTGCATTATAATAAGAGATTTATTTGTTATTTAAAGGAAAAATATTATCAAGGTAACGGTAAGTGTTATTTTTATCAATTGTATGAATTTAAGCCAGATTTTTCAAGCTCTTCATTTTAATCTGTTTTATATATGTTGTGTACAAGATGCAAGTTTGTACACATTATAATTTGTACAGGGTTTTTGTACATGTTATACGTTTTTGACACATACCTTTTTGCACCAGGTGACAAAAATTTATCTTCTAAAATGTATCAGCTTAATGTCTTAAATTCAATTTTATATACTTCAACATAACATTTAGTGCTATTCTCCTCGTCCTAAAACTGGAAATAAGGACACCTGAATGGTTTAAATTCTATTTTTATTTTTCTCCTTATAACAAAATCATATCCATAAAAAGTCTTTTTGTGTTCTTATAATGTTTTTTTTGTATCAATGCTTAGTATTAGACTGTATCATGTAGTCATATGACAGAAATATGCGAAAAAAAAGACTATGCATGTGCTTGCATCAGCCATTTGTGTTAAGCGGTTCATAAATCACTGATAACTTGTACAAAAATTCAACATTACAATTTGTACACAACATAAAGATGGCAAATGTTATGTCAGTTTCTTCTTTAAAAAAAAATCGGCATCTCTGTCATACACATTATATACCAGGAACTAATACCTATATATATAGAATATTCGCGTATAGGGATATTACTATGACAACTTACATTATGTTATTGAGAGTTCATTCGGGGGCAGATTCAAATATTTTGAAAACAAATAGGGTCCGATTATACCATGAGAAAACCTGGAACAAAGCTTTCTTTCCGTCAATTTTTACGTGATCGGAAACACTTTTCCAACAGGAGTGGAATCTATAGACTCACCTCCATTTTTTCCGAAAATAAAAATAGGATCCCGTCTAAATGTAACACCTAATTGGAAACCGTCATTTACATTAAATAGATAATATGTTAAATTTTGTACTTACAATTCTTATCTCCTACATTTTAGATTGACAAAGCACTATAAATAAATTCAAGTCATAGTTATTCTTCCTTGTTAGTGGATTGTATTTTAGTAGTTTCACTATATCTATTTAAAAACCTGTAAAGCTGCCAAATTAGGGTTATAAACAGTATCAGTAAGTATGGGTAAATTACGTTGCACATTATACATTACACGTTTTTTGTAAGAAATACTACGATGATGATTTAATAAAAATCAGATTAAGTTTTTATTCATTTAGTCGCCCAAAGAACCCAATAAGAAAAGAGTTTTGCGGCACTTGCGTTACTTTGTTTAAAGGGAATCATTATACAGTTTCAAAATGCATTGAGTCTTTTTGTCCTTTTTTACTTAAAAAAATCGTTCGGAGGATAAAATTTGCGAATTTTCGAAATTTCTTCGAAGATTTAATACAACTTTAATTTTTTTTATACTGCTATTTTGGCAATTAAACAACCAAAGTTTTTTATTTTTCATTTGTCTTAAAATGTATTTAAGGGAAATATAAACTTACACGTGTCAGTAATAATGTTTCCTTTGATTCCGTATTACATATTATTAGTATTTGCAGACTTTTATAGAGCAGTTAAGATAAAATTTATTTTAAACATATAGTAAATAGATGCTTAAAACGTAATGAGTATATAATGAGTATATATGAAATTTTACACAAATAAAGGTGTGTGCTTGTTTGTATATATTAGTTTAAAATCTAATATAAAACAAAATTGTAGCAAACCAGTATGCATGGTTATGTAAAAAAAATTAATTGAATCACCTATGTTACTATAGTTTCTAATACGACCAAAATAAAGTATCAGATTACTTCCCTTTTATTATTTAACACCTTAATTCCATCTTTGTTACAAAACTGTTGATTGTGTGCTACAGTAACGACATAAGTCCATACTATTTCGATCTTTGGCAACAATTGCATTGGTACAAATAGACATTAGACTGGATTGAATGAACGTTATGTTTTACATTTTATGATTTCGGGGCATTGTATAGCTTGATGTGCGGAATAGGGTTTGCTCATTGTTGAAGGCCGTAGGGTGACATATAGTTGCTTCCTTCCACGCCATTTGGTCTCTGGAGGAGAGTTGTCTCATTTGCAATCATACCACATCTTCTTATTTTTACACAGTATTCTAATTAGGTTCCTGCATATAAATCGGCGGAAGACCTATAATTTTCGGCTTGTCCGCCACTGAATCATTTCAGCTCTTTGACTTAAAAACCACCAAAGAGTTCAGTGATGAGAAACTTGGCATGGTTATTCAACATTACCAGAAGGTGGGTTGAAATCGACATGGTCAATTGACTTAGCCATCCCTTTGCATGCGTACAAAAATCATTTAAACCCCGTCGATTTCCGGTATGAAACTTTGTATGATTATTTACCACTACTAGAAAATGTGTTGTGTACATAAAAGTAAATCGTACGTTTATGATCTAGATAAAAAAATGTAGTTGAACTTAAGACACCCCTGTGCAAATACATTATAAAATTGAGAATGGAAACGGGGAATGTGTCAAAGAGACAACAACCGGACCTTAGAACAGAAAACAGCATACTTTATGTACATGCTGCGAGCCCCTCTGTGGTGGCTCCCGTCACTATCCTCTAGTTATCAACGAAGATTTCATGTTTATTGCGATGATATGTTTTATTTTGTATGGTATGACTTCATCGACGTTCTTGTATTGCTTTTTAGCCAAGAGCCAAGAGACCCATTGAAATCAGTGCTAGGAGTCGTCTTGAACTTGAAGTGAGGCATATTAACCCCACCACATTTTTCATATGCCTATCCTAATTCAGAAGCCTTCAATCTAGTGGTTTATGTTGATTGACTGTTGCTGGCGAAAGATACCAAAGGCATATTCAAACTCATAGGTCGAAAAATTAAACTGACAATGCCATGACGAAAAACTAAAATCGATCAAATGACAAACAGTATATAAAACACAGCATAAAAAAATAAAAGACAAAAAAAAAAAAAACACGAACTCCACCAAAACAGGCGATGATCATATATGCTCCGTTGTAAAAGTTGTGCCGTTACACCAATTCCTCAGGTTATGAGAAGGGTTTGGCGCCTAGAAATATATCAACCCCGCCACTTTTTTTATATGAATATCCCAAGTCTGACCCCCCCCCTTTTCCACACACACACATTCCTTTATTTGTTTTCTTCTGTTCAATGTTGAAGGCCTCACTGAGACATTGAGTTGAAGAAAGCACTTAAGAGCGATTCCATTGCTTTGTGTTTTGTCAGGTGTGTTTAGAGATTTTTTTCATGAATGATCGATAGCAATCTTTTTCATCACAATAGCACTCATTTTTCAGTATAACGAGCACCGAGTTTGTTGATTTTATATAAAGAAGTTTACACTACAATGTATAACGCGAGGCATAATTATAATGTCCTGAACTCGTAAATTAAAAAAAAAATCTGAGAGAATTCAATGCGAGGGTCTGGTTTGTCGACGTGTTAAGCGTCTCTTGCTTTTCGTGCATCAATGCGACAAGCTGAAGGAATGCGGCCCATTGAGATATTTATATTTAAGATAACAATGAACTCTTGACAATACAAATATATTGTATATTTTCTGCTTTGTAACATCGACGCTTAAAAGTTTTTTCAATTCCAAACTGTTGAGTTTAATTCTTATAAAATATCATTCAACATCGCATGAACGCGGACTGCGAAGTAAACCCCAGAATCATCGAATTGTGAAGTAAAAAGTTATTTTTACATTACTGTTCGTTTAACTCGGAGCAGGATGTCAGGAGATTTTGTTGTATACGACACAAGAAAGTAAAAAGCAACTATTTGTATACCTGTTATATGTCCAATATATATACTAGTCAACAATAGTAACGAATCACAAGTTAGAAAAACATGATTTGCATAGCAAATGCATAAGTTAGAAAATCTTACCATTTCGGAAAGTGAGAAAATATTGTGTTAACGCAGGGTTAACATTTATTTTGCGGAAAATTAGGATCAAAATCGGTAATCAATATAGTTTATGCGAAGGCTTTCAAAATATTTTCCAGACCATGTTTGTATTTCAACATTGCATTGTTCCGTTTTTTTTTTTGTTTTTTATTGACTAGGTTATATATAGTTTTTGATTGCAGTATAAAAACATTTTAATTTTTGCGACGGTCATGTGAATGATATCGTAAACCACCTACCATTGGTCAATAACAGTATGACAGCATTGATCACATTTGCATTTTCAAACCTATGTCGATTTTTAATTGTGGGTCTGTTGAAACACAAATGTGGCATTTTAAGTAAAACCTATAGCAGCAGATTTTTTTTATGTTTAGATGGAGGTACACAATTTATATGTTGCACAAAGTTTCTAATACAAGATAGACAAATGAATAAAGCAATACATGTCTATGAATACAGCACTTTATATAATATATAGGATATATACAAATTAAGCATTTTAACTGGTACTACAAAAAAGTACAATAATAAAACAATTTATAATAAAGTCAACTGTTGATTTGTCACTTGAGTTTGTGGAAAGAATGAATAGTTAGAAAACATGCATGATCGGACTGGAGGCGCTTGAATAGAACTTGTCACGTACGGTGACCAGAAACCAGGTGGAGTCACATTGCCGTGGTACTGGATATCGACTGGATAGTCAGGTCTTGTCGTTGCTGGGTTCACACTGCAGTCTTTCAAAATGTCATTAGCACATGACGAATAGTCAAATGGTGGCGATGGTGTCGTGTAACCAACGTTATGCTCCCATGTTTGAGGTGGGGTTAATACATCAGTAATCGGCTTGTAATGTAAGCTAAAAAAATAGAATTGTATATATAATCATTATGCAATGTAGAAAAAATTTCAAGCAATTAAATAAAACATGCATTAAATGCATACTAAATCATACCTTTCAAAGTCTTACTGTTTCTAATATATTCAATGTTGATATTGAGACCAATCCTTTTTTCACTAAAGTATTTTAGCAGTATATTCATGTATGGTGTTTTTTTCTTTCTTTCTTTATTTGTAATGATTTTCAGCAAACATCTGCGTCCGTTTGGGCCATAACTAAGAGGGAGAACTTTTTTTCTTTGACTATACTTACTTTGAAACTGGTTTCTTATTATCAACGGTGTTTTGTTGATTTACTGTCGAAACTGTTAAAACATGGGGACTTTCTAAAATCTGTGATGTTGGCTTCATTTGTCGTCTTGGTTCACTTGGGATGGTCAATACAGGCGGTCTGTTTTCTTGATCATAAACCTGATTTCTCATCCATGTAACTTGTGAATCCCTGTACTGTCTTTTAAATTTAGATCTTCTGTTTTGAAACCAAATCTGAAAAAAGAAACAACCTTTGTTACCAATTATCTTCCAGGTTGTGTTGCTGTAGTTACGATACGCATAGATTATTTTTTGACGACTTGAATGTTAACACGAGTTTTTTTTTCAAACACTATGAATTGTCACTGTCTTTTGGGTGCTTACTTTTTTATAACACGTATTTTTTTTTTATAAAATCGATAAAAAAATAAGACAAAAATGAACCTTTCAAGTAATCCAAATTTTGTATAAATATATATGAATAATATTACGTGGAAATCCCATAAATTGCTGATGAATGATAACATGATTATTGTCCAGCGTCAAATATTTTATAAAAATATGAGGAGATGTGGTATAAATGTCAATGAGACATCAGAGTTAAAATAAAGTGGTAGTTAGCAACATAGGCCACCGTACGGCTGTCAATGCATATTCTGTCATGAAAAAATAGCAATTTATACAATTATAGGTCGATTCTACAAGGTTTGTCGACCGTTAATCGCTGGTGAAATTTTCTAATGATTTTCCAATACCTTTTTGGAAAAGGAAAATGTATGTGTTTTTCATATTTCAGACCTGGAAATCATCTGTTTTCAAATAATCTAAAAAATGAATATATACTTACAGACACCTTTTCATTTGAGATTTCTAACTGATCAGCTAATTCGTCTGTTGTGAGAGAATCTGGGTACTGGTTAGCAATAAAAACTCTTTCCAAGGCTTCAAGCTAGCAAATTAAAGAAAATCGATTTTATTTTCATGTTCCACATTTTTAACTATGAAAACAATAAGAGACATGTTTAATCTTTAATGGAAACAAATCTATATAACTATTTCTCAATTACTGAAATTAGGGATATACCTTAATTTTTTTCATCGAGAATTTAAATTGCATTCAGATATCGGACGTTTTAATTGTTTGGTTCATTATAACGGCTTAAGGCATCTCAGCGGTACACACTTCACATTATTGTTTTTAAAAACGTAAAATAAGAAAGAAAGAAAACACAGCCGATAGAATATTCACCAGTTGTCAAAATTTTGAGAAATCAGTATTCATGTCAAACAATTGATATTCGTTTCAAAAAAAAATGTGTAATGCATATATTGGTAGAAAAATATGCTATAAAATGTAATTATAATAGAACAATCCGTAGTGTCTATTTTTAATTTAAGACTTGAAATGCACCACAAATAAAAAAAGAAAATGAAAACTCAACTATGCAGAAGAGTGAGAGACTGAGACAGAGTATAATTCAACAAAATCTGAATGATATCAAACATATCAGTATCCTACCTGTTCCTTGCTATATTTAGTTCTTTGTCGCTTCGATTTCGTTGTCATTGTTCCACTTCCCATGTCTGAAAGTAATTAAACAAATTAAAATAGAAAAATTCACTTAAATAACACTGGCAGCTTTTACTTGACGCCTATTCCTCAAAACGAGATATTAAGACAATTGTCGCCTATATTTAAATGTTTTATAAAAAAAATTAACTCAGTTATGTACATGCTGAATATGACATTTCTACACGGGATTTTAATATACTATCTTTTAGTGTATATATTATTGTATTTATTCAGACAGCTTCTTTTAAACGAAAATTTTATTTTTCCCTTACCTGTGACATGTTTTTGAAATGAAAGAGATCTCAATTTCCAATTGCAAAATTAACCTTTATCAACCAACGATGTAAAAGACTGCAGAACGATATAAAATATTTAATTTCAGTTTATTGAATACTATTGATAGCAGCATAATATTTTCTAAAAAAAAATACTCACTTAAGTTTTAATATGTATTCTTTGTCCTAAGATAGCAAAATAATATATGAAAAACTATTTAGGAAATTTAGTTTATAAAGATTTTTGAGTGAACTTTGTAATACATATTTTTCTTTGATATTGCCGACGTATAGAATAATATCGTATCAATCTGTTTATTGATTTCTTTAATTAAGATAATTACAATCAAAAGTTTTGTCAAACCCAAGCCCTGCCAGTGCTTCCTTCATATAGAAGATTTCAGGTAAAGCACACGAAACCTTATCAAAACAATGAGAAACCACCATATGTGAACTCTGTTAAGCAATCACTGATGACTTTGATCTCGTCCAACCCAAGCCCTAATTGTGAATTTTGAGAGATTTTTAAACTCGGAAAACTGGAACTGAAAATCTTGAACAAAAGAAGGACATTAAAGACTGAATTTATTGGTGTTTTGGACTATATACCATATGGAATATCATCAGACCCTTTAATTCTAACAAGATTCATTTATCAAAATTATATAAGAATATTGGTTCCCTCTGTGTTATTTCGATTATTTTGAAATATGTTTTTGCTTGTTCGTATTTGTTTTAAAAAAAAAATGATGATAACGACAAATAAAAAAAATAGCTCTTCAATAATTTCATTTTATTAAAGCCGCATACATTTCCAACTATGGTGCGATCGTTCTTAAAAGGCTGGAACGTTAAGTACTCCGATATGTCTTGTAGTAATTATCATAAGAGTTAGGAGACGACATTCTGGTGGAGGGAACAGGAGGATTTTTTGCGGTTTGAATATTCATTTTCATCTGTTGCTATGCATATTTATTTTTTCCTCGCGGCGAAACATTTATTTTCACTTTTGTCCACGATTCTATCCTGTATATTGTATTGCAGAATAACCTTTTCAACTTGCTCCTTAGTTCAAGATATTTTACTTAATTTGTATACTTTGCAGGATTGCATTTGCTTTTCAAGATTCTATTCACAACGCTAGGAAACTGTTAAGCGTAACATGAGGTACATGGTACAAGTGACGAAATCAACAGGCATCATAGCATAACAGGGAGTTTAGTCACAAAGCATCTGTTAACTAACGGACTCGTTACACGGCTGTCATTCTGTATATCGAGAAAAATGATCGTGAAAGAATAAGTAACGGTGGTCAAATATTGCGATTGGATCGTGAAAGACATGGTATAGGACCGTGAAGAAAATCTTATCGAGAAGACACATCCAATGCCAGTAAATAATCTGATTTAATGAATAATAATGACAAATATGGTTTAACATTATGATTAGTATCACCCTTTTTACAAAACTATAAAAGGCTAATTGCTCCTCGAAATTTCAAAGAAATAAAAATGGAAACAAACATGATTGTTTACATATCTTGAATGCATAAACTACTTTTCTCTTAAACATATCGTTCCATTATACTGTTTTAAATAGTTCTAAAAAGTTATTTAGTTTTAGTTTAATCATGCAGAAACTTTGCAAAATTGGGAATATTTGTAAAAATTTGATATTTCGGATTGTGAAAGATCGGGTACGGCTTTTTGATGATCGTGATAAGGATCGTGTTGCCGCTTATTCTTTATTGTAAAAATCTACGAAAACGATCAAAACATATGATAAGATATATTGGTAATAGTTATAGCAAAAGACTGAATTTTCGTGACTCATTTCGCTTCACTTTTGTTTGCGAATAGGGCTATGATAGGTTAATGCCATTGGATCTGATTATTTGATAATACTACACCGACTAGTTGCCTTATAACAACATAAGTCCGTCTGTCCGTCCTGCATACATAAGTTTTATGTCGTATGAAAAATTAAGATTATCTCATCCGATTTTCATTATTTCTATGCATATTCATATCTATAAAACGAAGATCCCTGTTGATAGTTGTAAAAATTAGAAAGAAAACATTGTTTAAAAAACCGCAGGAAAACTACTGTCATATTCCTGACCTGGCACAGGCATTTTCCTGAGAAAATGGTGGGTTAAAACTGGTTTTCTATGTTTGTTTCTATGTGTGTTGGCCTTTGTTTTTGTTGCACTTCGGTGTTCCTGTTGTTCTTTTGTTTTCCTCTTATAGTTGATGTGTTTCCCTCGGTTTTGGTTTGTAACCCGGATTTGTTTTCACTCAATCGATTTATGACTTTTGAACACCGGTATACTACTGTTGCCTTTATTTCTAGCTACCCAAACAGACATAATTGGTTAACGTGGCCATAATTGAGATCCAGCAGCCAAAACTTTCTAAACATACATACAACACAACTGAATTAAACATTCAAACATACTTGCAATTTAATCAAACAAAGACGTCAACAAAAAAGTTTTTGTAGTTGATAATAAAGTCAGTATAGTAAATGGTAATGACATATACATTTTACCGATACAATACAAAATAAGTAAGCTATAAATACAAGGGTATTCAAAGTGAAAACAACATTATAAAGACCTCATGTGTCCGAACCGCATATCTGGACCCATCCGCTTAAGGAGCGCCTAAAGCCAAAAACCTGAAAGCTGGATGCACATATACCGAACCACGTCAAGTGTCATACGACCAAATGGAACAGAAATATAAGTAAATCTGTAAAGTATAAAAAATTATACAGAGTCAGTACCTAGAATCTATAACACAAGACCATCCTGTACTATTTGAGAAGTAGACCCTGAATATTTAAATAGTCTATTAGGTTAAACCCTTACGAAAACAAAAACGTACACGTAAACGTATGTTTTTCTTCATTGTATCGATCTGATGAGTTAAGCCATTTTCAACTGATTTTTATAATTTGTTCTTAAGTTGTGCTGTAACACCACTGTCCAAGGTTAGGGGAGGGTTGAGCGCTCACAAACATGTTTAACACCGCCACATTCTTTACGTGCCTGTCCCAAATCAGGAGCCGGTAGTTCAGTGGTTGTCGTTAGTTTATGTCCGTTATGTTTGTTTTTCGTACATTTTTTTGTTATAAATAAGGCCGTTAGTTTTCTCAATTGAATTTTTTAATATTTTTCATGTCCGGGCCGTTTATAGCCGACTGTACGGTATAGGTTTTTTCTCATTGTTGAAGGCCGTACGGTTGCTTACATTCACTGGATTTGAACTTTGGTGGATAGTTGTCTCATTAGCCATCATACCACATCTTTTTTAACATTAAGATATTTCCAGGTGAAGATCACCAGAACCCCTCTCACTTCACCCATTCGTGGATGCATTTAACGTTATTAATACATAGATATTTACTTTTCGGTTATTTACGCTCCTGGAGGTCTTACTATCTTGGATGCCGGCCTAGGTAGCGTTGCCTGATCTATCACGATAAATTTTGATTTAAAATCAACAAAAATATACTTTTTCAAAAATATTGCAAACTTTTTCAAGTAATAACATACTTTTATTTGACTATGTGATACAATAAAGATTTAGTTTCAAATATATCATGATATATTGGAATGTGAACATTATGGATACAAAAGATGATTTTTTTAATGATTCTCATATGATCGTGTGTCGCCTTTTGTATTTACTGCATTTTTTCTTTCACGTAGTGCACAATATTATTAAGGAAGTTGATTCATTTTGACAGACATATTTCTTTTTTCTGGTTTGTTCCACCTCTTTCACGATCCAATCGCAATACTTGACCAACGTTAGTTATTCTTTCACGATAATTTTTCTCGATATATCGAATGACACCGGTTCGTTAACTTATCAATCGAAACTTTTAAGTTGAGGTTCTAATATCATTAACGGTACCAATTTTATTGCACTAGATGCGCATTTCGACAATCAATGTCGCTTCGGTGATGCTCTAGGTCAAAATAGTTGAAAGTCCAAAACCTAATAAAAAATTTGTATTTAAGTGTAGAACTATGGATTCTGTATGTTATTTTCTTGCTTATGTAAATGAACCATTATAATGTTCGGTTCTTTCTAAGGAAATAAACTTAAAGGTTTGTTACTCTTTAACAAAACACTTGATTTCGGTATCTCTCAATGAAGATTTAAAGAATAGAATCCCACAGAAATCATGCTACGTGTTATAATCTTGACCAATACAATACTTATCTATCTTGTATCACTGGACACAACATTATATGATATTGTATTTGCACTTTCTTATCGAAATTAGTTATTTCAACACACGGGGATTTTGAAGTTGTTTCTACATTTTCAACAGAAGACTAATAATGTAAGGGATATTTTCAAGGTAGATCGGTATCTTCCGCCATCTTGGATTGTAAAATAGCAAAACACAATTGGTCTAGACAAGGATTTGTATACGGTTGGACAAATCCTTGGTCTAGACCTTTTATAAGATATACACATTTTGAGAGAGATACATAAATCATATGTAAGTCTTCATTTAAATGAAGAAAATCATGTGTTTTATATTCTTACTACGACTGTTTAAAAAAAAATACACAACATGTTTTTTGTCGGATTCGTTTTTTTCAACTATCCATATAAAGGGAGATAACTAAGATAACCTTACTTTTATAAAGGAATGTGTTTGGAATTTACCTATTTTGTTTTTTTTAGCAAGAAAAAACGAGGTCCAATTTGTTAGCCGGTATGACGAAAACACGACGAATTAAAGAAGTCAACTTTATATATAGCTAATATAGGACAAATAAAGGCAACAGTAGTATACCGCTGTTCGAAACTCATAAATCGATAGAGATAAAAACAAATCCGGGTTACACACTAAAACTGAGGGAAACGCATCAAATATAAGAGGAGAACAACGACACAACAAAAACACAACATTAAAATGTAACACACACAGAAACGAACTATAATATAACAATGGCCATTTTCCTGACTTGGTACAGGACA